AGGACTTTGTGTAAGCAAAACACTGGGAATTGAAGTATAGCAGAAAGATTAAGTGACTTGACCAAAACTGCATAATAAAGCCCACAGAGAAAAGCAACAGCTTTTCTCCAATCGGTTTAGTATCCCTACAGCTTAAGATATTTTTCGATGCAAAATCCGTCTGCCCCTGCCCTTTTAAAACTAGGTGAGTCTGATTAATTACTTTGTATCTCCAAAATCTTTTGGTCTGAAAATCTGTTTGTCAGAAAGCCTTTTCTGAAATTGTTACTTTAAAAAAAATTTATCCTTTCATGATAGTAGGCTTTATTTAGCTGAGTTTAGAAAAATTTCCTCCTCTGTATTTTTTGCTGTGTTTCTGATTTTTTTTTTTTTCTGTGTGGTGGTGTTCATCCAAATGTGGAGGAAAAATTATCTTCTCTGTAGGAAGGGGCATGACTGTTGAAGGTCCTTCTTTTGTAGAAATTACTTCCTTGCGGTAGTTGTACATACTTCCCAGTATTCTTTCTGTGAAGAGAACTTTGAAAGCACAATTTGTTGTCATCTTTCTGAAAGCGTTGTTGGAAGAGCAGTTCTGACTCTTGCTTGTGGTGGTTTGGGAAGTTACCGTCTGGTCTGAGGTTTCAGTCCTTGGAGCAGTGTTGGCAGAACAGAAGGTGTATTTGCACCTTGGCCATGTTTGTTCATTTGGAACTAAACTGCGCTAGCAGATTAAAATAAGCTGCTGGACTTGGTGCAAAAGTAGCTGAGATGCATTATGCTTGCTGACTTTCCTGTCCCTGGCTGTCAGCCCATCTTTACTGGTTACTGCCCTCCCAGTAACTTTAAACTGATAAAGCAAATGCTAAACCGCTTTCATCAGTATTCTGAGACAACATCCAGCTCCAGGATTGTCTGCTGCTAACTTCAGGGAATAAACTTAACATGATTGAGGACTGTATAACTGTCTATATGTTCTGACTAATGCAGTCAAGAATAAATTCTTACATTCTTAAATTTCAGCTTTTCATCAGAAAGGATGATCAAAATTGAGACCTATTTATGAGATTAGTTATAGGGGTCTGTTCTTAGATTTTGTACATGTCTAATAGGTGATGCTGTCATTTGTTCTTTACCTTTTGTAGGAAGAAGGGGAGCTCAAGTGTATAACTCAGTAATGAGTAAAAAAGGAGTAAATCCTCAATAGGAATAAAGCTAATGACAAAAGGGAAGTGACATAACCATCTGCTGACTGAAGGTGACTGCAAAGTCCAGAATGCACGTGTGTCTTGTTGCTAAAGAATAAAAAAACTCCTTCAGATGTTCTACTCTTTCCTTCCCCAAATAACCTTAATGCATAATTCTTTCAGAGAGATTCTTTTTGCTGCTTTTCCTCAAAAGTGCTTAGCTGAAGTACTACATCATGTGCCTTTGTGATGTAAAAATAGAAGCTTTTTCCCTCTAGGTAGTTTACTACTTAAGATGGTATAAATCTCAGTAATCTTCATGAGGCTCACAGTTATATTCTTAAACTCTGACATGAACTTTACTCAAGCTGTTTAATTTGAGAAATGACTTGATCATGATTTTTGGTACTTTGTCTCTAGCATTAAAAACTGTTTTTGATCAAAGACTGATCGCAAAATATTGTATGTAAAGCTTTTGCTTTCTAAGTAGCATGTGACTAAAACGGGGGAGGAAATGAACTGTCTGTTCACTCTGAGATTTTCATTTTTAGTACACACATTTTCCATGAACCATCTAGAGCACTGCTATTAATTTGTCATATGGCAAGTTCTCTAGCATGGACATCAAGAGGTTGTCTTAGCAGGAAACCTGAGCAGTTTGTAGACCTGTTCTTGTAACTGTACTTGTGTGAGCTAAAGAGTGTAGAACTGCCGCCTTCTGGTTGAGGCATTTGTTTCCTGAACGTCTCACTTGTTTGAGTTCGTGTTTTAGTACTAAACTGAAACTAATGTGGCTTTGGTTTGACTGGAATGGGATAGAGGGCATTCATGAGCACTGGTGGCAGGTTGGAGTAGGATGTAATTAGGCGTTCTGGGGTGGCAATTTCTTCAGCTAATGTAGTTGCGTATGGAAAAAGGTATGTGTCTGCACTGGATGTGGTGGTTTAAGCTGATTGTAACGACAAGCTTGGAATACACTCAAGGACATTAAAGGCCTTGCAACTCAAATGTAATTGCAAGAATGTGTATGGTATGCTTTTAAGTATCTGATCTAAATGAGATGCTCCTTGCAGTCATCTAGTGTTTATAATATTTCCTTTGTCTTGCAGAATAAAATTTAGAAAGTAGGAATTCTCTTAAGCTGCCTATATCCATATAAGGCAAGAACAAGTATTTTGTCCGTCAGCACGTTTCTCTAGTTGCATGATCATAATTTTCTTTGCCTTTACAAATGTTACATTTTTCCTGGTTTTATTATTAAAATATTGCTACAAAAAAACTTTTCCTAGTTCACAGTGTGCCTGTCAGTTATTACTTCGCTGCAGAAAGAACTAGTGATATGCTAATGTTAGCAGCTTGCACTTGTCTTTTGATAATTTATATAGGAGAGCCACCTTATGGGAGAATGACACAGGAACTCCAATGTAAGTAAGCACAAAAAATAAAGAGACTGAAACAGAAAAAAATGTCAAAATAGTGTCTCTTGTGATCCCTCGTTTCTGCAAATGTGCTAGAAGTAGTGGTGAGGCATCATCTTTGTCATCTTCAGTGAGTCCTGCAGTAGCAGGTATGGGATGGGAAGGAGAGAGGCTTCTGGCAGATTAGATCTTTGCGCCTGGTGTGACTTTACCGTCATCCTCTGCCGTTTTCTCTAATGGTGGTGTAAGTGGAGAGCTAATGATTACTCAGGGTATGCTGAATTTGGGGAGCATAATTTTACGTCCTTTCATTGCCTTCAGAGAGTTCTATAATAGTGGACGCATTTACTTCAAAATTAATATTAATTTTGAACTAGACTTGCTGTTCATTGCACATAATACACAAGCTCTTTAGCAACACTTTTACAACATGACATTTGTTGACAAATACATGGATTAATAAACTATAACATACTTAAAATCTTGTGTATTAAAACTGTCTTTTTTTTGTCAGAAAGATCTTTGAAGCAAAGATGATTTAAAAAAACTGAAACAAAACTTATTCCAGTGGTGAATCCATTACCTAGGCTTGGGTGGAGCATCATCTGTCTGAAATATATTCATGTTTGTGAGTTCGTGCTTGGTCTGGAGATTTTGAAATGCAACAGAGTGCACTAAACTGCTAATCCAAATTTGTAATCACTCTCTGAATGTTGTAGCTGTTGTTTAGTGGCTTTTTTATAATGTGAATCTAACAAGTTATGCTATACACTTATCTGAGAACTTGAATTCTTCAGTTATTCTGGGGTTTCTCTGTATAATACCTTCACTGGGTTGATGGATAAATTGTGGCTAGGGTAGGGAGAGGGAAAATCTTTTTGTAGAGTTCCATGTATGATTATGATAAGCTAAGTCTTGCAAAGAGCAAAAGCATGTTGACTGTAGTTTCAAAAGTGATACAAAATATTTTTGTGTTGAATATAGTCTAGTTCCCACACTTGTTTTTTGGTCTGAAGTTGCTAAACTGCTCCCCGGGGCTAGCATGTTAAGTAATGCCTGCTCAGAGTGGTGGAGAACATGCATGTCTTTTTTAAAACGCTGTTTTTGTGGTTCGCTATAGCTAGAGCTAAATTTGCATTGTTTTCTTGATCATTTAGTGTTGTGGAACTGTTACTGAGAAGCAGGCATGGCACAGTTCCACACCTTGGTACTGCTGCAAAAGGCAATGTGAAGCTAAACCTGTTCTTGTTCACTACGAACTACTTGTTCACAACAAACGTTTGGTTGAGCTCTACCCCTCTTTGGGCACCTTCCAGCCTTGCAAAGGTGACAGTAGCAGTTTGTTTCCTTCTGTGCTGTATGCGACTCTTCCGAACTCTTAGTTTTAAGCACCATAAATCTCAGCACTCACTCATAGTAGTAGTTTTCAGGAAACTGAAATATTTGGAAGTGCATGCTATTTGTAAAGTCTATCTGAAAATATATTTTCTCTTTTTTTAACACAGAAAGCATAAAAACATAGATGTATTTAAATCTAATATAGTGTTCTTCATTCTAGCTCTTCATTCCCAAAGGAATTGGGGAAGGCATTCTGAATTAGCATAGGTGATACTGTCTTTCTTTGGTGGATACCTCCAGGAGCTGTCCTCATTCTGGATGGTTTTGTATTTTTACATGAACTTGTAATGTATAGGCTGACTACTACTTTGCCCCCCTTTTTTTTTGTTTGTTTCTAGTTTTATTTTTTTTGCTGCACAGACAATGGAAAACTTCTCGGTTTCCATAATATTTATGGTTTTGTTGGTTTTTTTAAGTGGTTTTTCAACTAGTTTCAGAGAGATTTGCTAAGAAGGATGGGATTGTGGTTTACTATCACGTTTGATTTCACCTATAGATATAAAAAATAATAAAAACCACTCTAATGTAATTGATTGCTAGATATGTTCTCATGTGGAGAGCATACACTTTGATATGCAGTTTTTGTAAAATTAGTCTTCAGGTAATCTGTATCTTCACACCACTTGCATGACACTCTGCGTAAGAAATATACCTGTGTGAATAAAAGGCAGAAGTTAGGGAGGCAGAGGGAAGCAGGCTCTGGAAGATTAAAAGCAGGGGAAGTGGAAGCTCCGAGGTGAACTCCCTCCTGTGTTATCTGTACACATAGATAACAGCCACTGCTGTTGAATCATGAGATTTTTAAACACAGCACCTAAAAATCATACTTGTTTAAAAAAAGATTCCTTATACCAATGAAATCAGAGTTTGAGGAATATAGTATAATATATTCGTATAACTTTAAGTATTATATTATTCCACAATAACCTCATATTATACTTATTGTTTACAGCTTCATAACTAATTATTTAATATTTTTTCTTCTTTGTTAGATTTTTCTGGCAGGAGGAGAATACTGACCTGAGATGGAAGTCAAAATGTCATTTAGCAAAGCTGGTAGGATTCCCGAAACTGTATCCACATTAATTAATGAAGAATTTGTCCTGGTTCATCAGCAATCTGAGGACACCTCTGGAAATGATGAAAAACCTCAGCTAAAGGTTTACTATTACTTTATTTTAAATGTGTAGTAAGATTTGTATTGATCAAAGATTGCAGCTTCTTTTGAATACTCGATTAAAGATCCTTGTGTGTGCTTGAGGAGACTTGTAGGCTGTAATTTTTATCCTTGCTTATTACCAGTGAAATTAACAGCTCAGATTAAGCAAATCTCTCCAAAAGTGGCAGTTGAGTTTTTCTTTTAATAACTTCTTCGGGGGTCAGCTCTGTTAGTATTCTGTGGATTTATTATACATTTAGTAAAGGACTAAAAAATTCTTTTCAAAGAATGAGCTTCAGATTAAAGCTTGGGAAATATTCTTTATTTAAGAATCAGAGACTCTGAATCTTGTTATCTTAAAAGCACAAAATCAGGTTGCATAGGAACAGACCACAGGGGCTCTTGGTTTTTAGTTTTTAGTTTAATTTTTTGCTTAGTGCTGCTTTAGGCGTGACCAAGACCTTTTCTAAAAGCTTTCTACCTCTAAATAGCAGAATATTTTAGCATTTGGGTGACAGCTGAGTGGTTAATTACATATTTCCTTACTTGAGTTGCAGTAGCTGATTTACTGGTTTTGGTCCGCTTGGAACAATAGGTATTTTTTCCCCTTGAAATGGCAATAAGTACTTAGCCTGCCTTTGTGTAACTGTTTGGCAGTTAGTTACAGCTGAGGACTTCTGTCTGTATTAAACACTAGCTGCTTCTTTAGTAATTATGTCTGGAAAGAGGTAAGTGAACTGGTGGTAGAATCCATGATGCAACTTTATTATTGGCTGTGGGTTTTCTTTGGTGTGAAAAGCTAGTACTTGTGAAAGGCTGTATTTTTTTTTTCCTAGGGAACGTATCTTGCCACTTTCTTGCTGTTTCCTTAGATTTGCAACCCTCCTGTGTGTGGGACAATTAGTGAAACAAACGGATTGGATATGACTGTGTCCATGTTTCAGCTGGGACAGAGTAAAATTTTCTTTAAGATTAATCTATAACAAAGTCTGTTGATCTTTGTTCTGAATGGAGGATCTAATTTTAAGAGAGCTCTGTAGTTTTTAGATGGATGGTTGTTGGATTAGCAGTGAGAATGTGTGCATTATATGTGATGGGATACTGGATTATTGGATATTGATTTAATTTTGTTGCTTCTTAGTGTGTTGTCTTGTTCAGCAAAGTTTCTTAACTTTTGCTATGAGTAAGACTATATGTTTGAAGAATAAAACTGCAAGTACCTTTAAAAAATGTCATCTTCTTCTGCTTACAGGTATTTTCAAATGGAGATGATCAGCTGGAGAAGGCAATGGAAGAGATACTGAGGGATTCTGAAAAAGACCAGAACAATCTCACTGCTCTCCAAGAAGGTTCCAGTGATGCAGGCAGCCAGGCAACTGGAAGTCAAACAAATCAGCCGTCTTTGCACCTTGTTTTAGACCCTTCTGCTACAGGTATTGCTAAAGTGCTTCCCTCCTCAATCATATATGGCAGTTCTTTTCTTTATGCAATTTCAAGTTAACCTTAAAATTAGCATAAAACTTTCTGGAGCTTCATTCCAAAAGTATACTGGACAGTACCCTGGGGACTCCTCTCCTTTTCTGATTAGCTGAGGATTGTAGACAGGGCTAGATTATCATCAGGTTGATACCCTGTGCTGCTCTGTTTTGGTCAAGATAATTTTCATTTTTGTCTTGGGTATAGATGAGTTAGGATTAAGAATTGTGTAACTTGCTGAATGGACTATAGTTGAGGTAGAGATGCTACTGATGGAGTGTGAGAAGTTTCAGGGCAGTGTTAACTGACAGTACTACTTGCAAATGAAATATACTCTGAGCTAATTCATAAGCTTTCCCACGCTGATTCTGTCACCAGGTATCAGTAAGGACAGCTTTAGATTTGATCTTTGCTAGGAATGATTGTGGTACTTTTCTGGTATTTGAAGTTTTGGTGAAACAGGGAGGACTGAAAGCTTTTTATGTAAACTATATTGTGTATATATTTTATGTAAAATATGTTGTAGCTTTTTTATGACACAATAGCGGCAAAACTCCCAAAAACTCCCTCGAGATCGCCCCTGTCCACAGTGGTGTGATAATGGAAAGCGAACGCTTCTCTTCTGCTGAGTAGAGGAAAAAACAGACCTCCTTTTTCTTCAGCTCCCTGATGGTTTCATGCAGTTGATACAGCTATCCCAGGAAGTGAACCATCTTTATGCAAAATGATAATAGAATCACAGAATGGTTTGGGTTGGAAAGGACCTTAAAGATCATCTAGTTCCCACCCCCCTGCCATGGGCAGGGACACCTCCCACTAGCCCAGGTTGCTCAAAGCCTCATCCAACCTGGCCTTGATGGAGCTTCCACAGCTTCTCTGGGTAGAAATGAGAAGCAGGTATAAGCAAAAAAGAACATCCGGGGAATGGAGCTTAAAGAAAAAATGTGTTCTAGTGCTGCTAAAAAGAATCAAAAGGCAATGTGTCCTTATGCCATAATTGGAAACATGCATTAGAATAGACTTAATGTTCCTATTAAGCTGCCAAATTGATTTCTTGCTATTGGAGCTGGACTTTTGACTCCCATATCCATTCTCAGAAAAAGCAGGAGATTTTGCTATGGAGCTCATTCAGAAAACAATGTGTAAAAATAAAAGTGAATGGTTAAAGAAGTGATTTCTTTATTTTCAGAAATCTCTGCACCAAGGCCATCTTCTCCCAGTGAACCCCTGGAGGAGGACAGCGTACTGTTTAACAAACTGACTTATTTAGGTTGCACAAAGGTGTCTGCCCCCCGAAATGAACTGGAGGCTCTACATGCCATGGCAAACATGAAATCCTCAAGTCAAGCCCCTTTACCTGTAACACTTTATGTTCCAAATATTCCGGAAGGCTCTGTAAGGTAACGTACAAATGTTTCTTTTGTTAGTTGCGCAGACACATAAAAGGTGGATTTTGACTTTCACTCACACAGGGAGGTAGAATTGCTGGATTTGTGCCTAAAGTTCCTGCTGGAAACAGTTATTTTTGAGAAATTCCTCTGAAGCAATAAAATGTATGCTCAAGTGTAACATGCAGTACATTGTTGGTGGTAGCGGTTGCCGTACAGTGTCAACAAAATCATATCTTTCTATCTTCATCTCTGTTCAAATATGGTGATAAAAGATCACTGGAAAGGGAGAGCTGGTAATGCCTGTTTTCTTCCAACCTCCCTAGTCTGTAGTCACCTCCAAGGTAAATGTGTTGACACAGGAGTATTCCATTGGGTTAGCTGGAGGTTTCAGTTCTTCCCTATATGACTCTTCCGTATATGCTGAGGACTTGAGATGCTAGTCTCTATTTCCAGTTTTTGCTATGCCAGTTCTCACCTGTGTCTGCTTCATCATGTATATGCCGATAGTCTCTAGATACTAGAAGACATTTACTTGCCCCATGTGAGGAGGTTTTTTTAATTAGTGATGAGAGAGTCAAGGGTTCTTAATCCAGGTGCACTAAAGGCTCACCTGTAGTGGCCTTGCATGCAGAAGTAGGGAACATCTCAATATTCAGGGTTTTTGTTTTTAAACTCTGATACCAAGATATCTGAAGGATATGGTTAGATCTCCTGTACTCTGCCTATGTATTGACTATCATCTTGTGCAGAAAGACTGAACGACCTTCAAGCACATACGTTTTCTTCCACTTTGCTCTTTAAAATTTTGAAATTTAAGATTTCATTTGATGTTATGGCAACATTTCATTTGAATTAGGAAATGACACTGAATACTTTTATGATGGCAACTGTCACATAGACATGAGATGTTAGGTGTGCTCTACCTATTTTTGTAGCCATTGTGGCCATTCAAGAAGGTTGTTTTGCAAGTGAAACTGCAGGTTCCTTTGATCTTTAATCACAGAGAACATCATTAAGCGCAGGACTGCCTAGGAATCTGCACAGAACTGCAAAGGTGAATCCATGTGTGACAGAGTACGCTCCATCAAAGTTCAAATGACACCAGTGATCCTTGAGGAGTGTTGCCATTCCTGGTATCTGAACACTTGTCACGTGGGTTTCCATTTAACACCTCCCACCAGTATTACAGGATGCTCAAACCCTCTCTGGGCTTTTCTTGCCTTGAGAAGATTAGTCCTTTATTTGTATTGCTAGAGACTTGGGATTCTATTACAGGTAACGTTTATTCACCCTTGATGTGAATGTGCATATGGACAAGTAGCGAAAAGACAGAGGAGAATTGTGTAGCTCTATTATTCTTTAAAACTCACTGTCTAGTAGTCCACTCTGACACCATCATCCATGTTGTCATCCTTAAAGTTTCTGAAATATTCTTTGGGTTCTGAGTTTGAGAGGAGTTTAAAATTTTGTATGAGCCCTTAGATCTGTGATTTAATATTCACCTGAACATGGCAGCAAGCATTTGCTAAGCTGTAGATTTTGATCAATAATGTCTTCTTAATGTTTTCTTAAACAGAGATTTAACTTGTTTTATAATGTTGAATTTTCTTTGATCTTTGTATGCAGATTACATTTTCATGGTTGCTGTGTTTTTTACATTTCTACTTTCGTGTTTTTCACAAACGATTGCAGAGCAGTGATGGTTGTTGTTACTGCGTGATATAGAGATACTATATTTGTCTGTATTATGGAGTATAAAAGAAATTAAGCCAATGTTACAACTAGAAACGTTTGCATCTTAAATTTGGAAAGCCTGACATTTCTGATCCTACTGCCCATCTTGTGTACTTGAATTTAGTAGTAATTACAGTTTAGATACTTGCTTATCTAACTGCAGAAAAGCCTTTTAGGTAGGCCTGTTTGTTTTATTGACTTTTTTCTTTGATCTTCCCTGTTTTTTCCTTGACAGAATAATAGATCAATCAAGCAATGCAGAGATAGCCTCTTTTCCAATCTATAAGGTGTTGTTTTGTGTACGTGGACAAAATGGGACTTCAGAGAGTGACTGTTTTGCATTTACTGAAAGCAGCTGTGGAACAGAAGAGTTCCAGATTCATGTTTTCTCCTGTGAGATTAAAGAGGCAGTAAGTATTAAATGTTGTACAGTGACTGGTAAAAAGGATACAAACAGTATTTTAAGTTTTTCCTGTTGTGGAAATGGTATATAGTGCCTTGAAAAATATGTTAACATGTATATAATGAGTTTCACAGAATATGCAGCTAGTCATACAAGAACAGTAATATAATTTAATTGTTTTCTTTCTTCTTTTAGTATTTCAATAAAATTTCAAATTGCACAGTAATGGGAAGATTTAAAAAGCCTAAGTTTAAGACAAATATTCTGTTTTTCAGGCCTTGTTTGGGTAGGTTTCAGACTAAAGTTGCCGTGTAGACCTCACGGGTTACGAAGAATCATTTTATTATACTCTGCCCTAGATATTTTAGGAAGAACTGCAAGATAGCTTGGGAGAAAAGGGCTTTCTAGGGTGGAAAAATAGAGGTGGAAAAAGAAGAAATCATCTTGGTTTTGACATCTGCAAGAGCAATCTCTAAGCTGTGTTGTTAAGTACACAACCTGAAAAGTACATTGTTCAGGTCCGCTGATGAGTTGCATTCCTAATCTTGTAATATTTATTAGCTTACTAAGCATTACATGAGCAGTGGATATGACCTGAATGGAAATAGATGCTGTTACTGAGTTTACTTTGTTTTTAAACACCCGATCTGAATGTTTTGTGTTATGTGAGGCATGCTTTGTGTTCAGTATAAGAGGCAAGTGACAGTAATTTTGTGACCTTCAAAAACACATCACTGTATCCCATTAAAAATACTCTTTTATTTTTGATAAAACTACTAATTCTTTTGTCTTTCTGCAGGTCAGCCGAATTTTATATAGTTTCTCAACAGCATTTAAACGTTCTTCCAAACAAGCATCCGATCATGTTAAGGACTTTGTTCTTCCCACTCCAGATAGTGACGTGTACACTTTCAGTGTTTCCTTAGAAGTCAAAGAAGATGATGGAAAAGGAAATTTTAGGTAATCTGAATGGAAAGGGAAAAGTAGAGATCTCTCTGAGAAAAGCATATAGCCACTTGCAGAATGCACAGCTGCCATGTTACAGTAAAATTGATTTAGCCTCTTCTCATAAGTAGACGACTTATAAAAAGAAAGCTGTTGCTTTGTTTCTACAGCTTACTTCTCTATTCTGTAAAAAGATAAAAAATCAGGATACCTTTTTCAAGTTAGTTTCTTTTAAATACATGATTTCTGGTAGGGATGCTCAAGGTAGGCCTGTGTAAATGGAAAAAGATAGTAGGAAGGCTGTTAAAGCTTCAGTCAAACTGATTTTCTTGAGTAAGTACAGTCTAGTGGTCTCTTTTTAAAATATTGTTTTCTTTTATAAGCTACTGAATTCTGAATTTGTTGAAATTTAGAAAATGTAAACTTCTCTAAGCATTCCAGGGGAAAGGTGGGCAAAGTATTCTTTGCCTAGCAGTTAATTACAAGATTTTTTTTGAATGGAAGAGAGAGCTGATAACGGTAGTTAATTCTGTGAAAATGTCCTATTTTTATTTTTTGCTTCATAGCCAGTATATAGAGTATATTCTGTCATTTTAAAACCCAAAATACCTCCCATGTTTTTGGATATGTTTGTCTGATAAATCCCCCACACAGGTAGCATACTAAGTGTGAGTGTATAGTCTGTTTTTCTTTGCTGCCAGTTTATTAATTTGTGAATAAAGGAAGAGAAGGTCTCTCAAATGAGTTGAGCCATTAACAGTTTAAGTGGGCTGCTGCTCTCTTTTCTGCTTTTTAACAGTTAATGTTCTATACTTGTGCTAAAGAAACTTGGTTCTTTATTCTTCTAGTCCTGTGCCAAAGGATAGAGAGAAATTATATTTCAAGCTTAAACAGGGAATTGAGAAGAAAGTGGTTATTACGGTAAAAAAACTCTCAAACAAAGAACTGGCCATTGAAAGGTAAGATTCTTAGAAAAATAATGCAGGTTAAGTTTTTGAGAGAACAATATTCAATGTACTTTTCCTTGGCTCTGCAACTTATGTGACAGAAAAAAATACACCAACAACAGAAAATATTATTGCACAATGTAATTTATAGGTGTGGAGTTCAGTTTTAAATTACTTTTGAAGTATTTGTGTGATTTTTAGGTGAAAACAAGAAAACATAGCCTGTAATACTCAAAACTTTCTAAGGTTTTTTTTTCTGTTTATTTGTCTTTTTGGACATGGTGTTAGAATACTTAGGACATTCAAATGCTTTTGATTTTGCTTTCTGTTGGTTTTAGTGCAAAACCATGCATTTATTGTAACCCTGTGTTACCAACATGTCACTCTTTAGTAAGAGTAACCAAGTGAGGTTGTCTGAGCTATGTTGAAACTTGAAGCGTATTAATCTGTTAGACCAATGTGCTGGAACACTGCAAGTGGGGACTCAGCCTGCTGGTTAGAAGAGGCAACCTTTTGGTGGAGTCTTCAAGATGAGTAGGATTCCTTCGTAGTTTTGTTACGATGTGGTTGTAGTGTTTCTTTTCAAGTGATGGGGAAGAGCTCCGGAATGGTTGATGACTCCTGTTGTATTTCCTGGAAATTACATGAGGGGGATCCCTTTTGGACAGTATAATCTGACCTTTTGTGCAAAGCACTTGCACAAGAAGTGGACCATGCATGTGAAGAATAACCATTAGTTAATGTGTTCATTAACAGTAGACTCTTGTACTACAATAGTAGTAGGTATTGTGTTAGTTTAAATTAGGAAATTTATTCTCAATAGCTCGATTTTTAAAAAGAGCAAACGCCACCAGATGGCAATCTTATCAAAAGAGTAACAATAGGAGAATTCAATTTTAGTGAAAAGGGAATTCAAGACGACAACAGAATAAAAATTAAAAAAACCTAACACAAAACTCCCCGAACCGAAGGCTGATCTCTTGACCTGCTTTTAGACTCTTACTTTAAAAATTAAACTAAAATTTTAGACAGGGAACATACAGCAAAATTTTTAATCTTCATTGTTTCGTTTTGTGAAATATGTGCTTTTGCTACTCAAGGGCTTTAAAAAAAATATCCTATTCTCGATGTATTTTTAATTTAAATAATTTTGGCTTCAGAAATCGGTTAATGAATGAACTCTTTTAGGCATTTCTGAATAGCACTTGATTGTTGTTGGTTTTTGCCCCAAAAGTAAAGCTGCCTTCCTTAGAAACTGGCTTTTGTTTTGATGTTGTTTAGGATATTCAGTTAGGATGTTATTGCTAAAGAAATTTGGTCTCTGGTCTAAAGAGTTCAAGAATCTTTGTTCATGGTCTCAGAAGAGTAAACCTGGTCTCACTCGGAGAAACTTCTCACCTGCTGGTGTTCAGACAGGACCTGTGGCTGGGTTAGATTGATAGAGCAGGCTACTCTAAGTTGAGTTACTTTGGCCCTTCCTACCTTTGTGGCCTGTTTAACTTGGGTTTTGCCTGCTTTTGTCTAGGTCAGAGCAGGTAAAGAGATGATGTTCATTGCTGTCTCCCAGGTTTGAGACATGTGTGGCACGACATCGGTTCAGTTCCATAATGTGGGATATCAAGTGTCAGTTATTCACAGGATTGAAGAAGAAAATTCTGGCTAATGATCAGGGGCTTTAAGAAAGTTGTTCTAAAGGGTGAAATAGCCCTTCATTCTGAGAAATGAGAGGACTGAGTCTGTTCTCAATAGAGAGGTGTTTAAATATAGTATGCTACCAGTCGCACAGGAGAGTTAATACCAATTATGTAGTTATAGGTTAGGTTAGAGTTGAGACTGGTGTCCTCGGAACTGATGTACAGAATTTCGGTTGGTTGCTCAGTAGTACTGGAAACTCTTAAAGATCATGTTATCATATTAACTTTATGCCAGTGGCCTTATCCACGGGTAGCATTTGTATTATATAAATGGAAATATATATTAGTGAAGAATAATTTCAGTTCTCTTTTTGCGGGTCTAGAAACCAGTCAAATTTAAACAGAGTAGTGCACCTGCACGTAGCCACTTGGTAGCCAGCTGCAAGTGCAGAAAACCCAACACGTCAGAAGTGGCAGGGCTGAGGCCCACAGTCTATACAGGTCACTTTGAATCCCGGGTGTGAGTTTCATCCTCCTTAAATGGGAGGCTGAATGTGTTGACAGCGGTTTGTGTAAAACATAGATACTCGGCAAGCGAGGGACCTGAACTAATTTGGACTAATTTTGCTCTTTGAAATTAGTGGGAAGAGAAGGCCTGACTCTTCTAGTAGCAGGATGCTGCCAGTCATCATAAGTATCTGCTTCTGGGAGAGGGGTTACTCGTTCCTCCTGCTACTCTTCTGGAAGCGTACTACCCAAAAATTTTGTCTGGCACACATCAGAGCTTGTGTACATCTGAGAGAAGCACAGCAAGAGCTATGATCTGTGAGCTGTTACCTTTGAAAAGCACACATATTTTGCCTGCCTTGGAGTCTTAGCCTTCCAGTTTTCTTTAGGAGATGTACCCGAAGCTAGTGACCCTTCTACTATTAGAAATTATAATCCTCTCAGAGCTATTTCCACTCCGGGAACAAAAAGTAGTCAGTCTACTGTCATATTCTGCTTGGTCTAAATAGTCTTGCAGAGGTGCCTGCTTGTGTGCTTAAACAGAAGCCCTAGTGCCCTAGCTACTTTGTTTGCTTTACACAGCACTGCGTTATGCTATATAGGTAAGTCAGAATTGTTGTCTACTGTTTTATTCACCAGTTTGATTTCTAAGATTCCAGTACTGAGAGAGTATGGAGAAGGAAAAAGACAATTGTGGATGTAAGTTACTGTTTAAATGTAATGAGGTGGAAAATGAAAATCATATATCCAAATGTAATAGGGGCAAATGTAATAGATGGTGTGGTAATTGCTTATTGTAAGACTTCTACAGTTAATAGCATTATTGAAATGATAGTTGCTATTATATCTGTTCATGATACTGTGTGCTCGCCTGAAAGCTGTGAAACTATGCTTTCTTTTGTTGCAAATCTTTGAATGTTCAAGAAATCTCTTGCAATTTATGTTTGCTGAAAAATCTGAGTTTTCACTTGGTTAAGTGGGTTGCCCATATGACAGAACTACTTTTGTTCAGGCTTAGAGAAGATGGGGATGGGGGGCTCTTCTGATGCATTCAGATAGCTGGTGGGAGGGTATGGAGAGATGGAGCCAGACTCTTCTTGGAGGTGCAGAGTAGTAGGATTAGAGTCAACGGGCACAAGTTACTTCCCTGGAAATTCCTCTGTTGAATAAGGCCAGTTGTTGTCAGTACAAAGGAGCTGAGCATTGGAACAGGTTGCCAAAAAAGGTCATTCATTCTCTGTTCTCACGGATGCTCAGAACGTGACTTGACAAGGCCCTGGGCAACCTGAGTTGTGTAGTGCCTTCAATATTCAGAAAGTTTAAAAGTCTGAATGTTTTAAGAATATTTTGGAGTTTTGGGGTTTTTTTTTTGTTTACTCTTAGGAATATCAAGAACATTTTCTTGTTAAATGACTGGACTGGAATTCTGAAGTTCAGGATCCTGTATAATACAGACATTCATTTTTTAAAAATCAAGAATGAAGGTCTAAAAATTGAGCAAATTAGCTTTTTTAAGGGCTCGTGATACTACGTGGTGTTTTCCACCACTGACATTATGGGTGATAGAATGTGTGAATTTGTAACTTTTCGTATGATTGTATGAAAGCCATTTTTTAAACGGACTGGGGAGAGAGTGAATTTCTTCCTGACAATCTCCGTCACTAATGTATAGGGATTGTTGGAATCTTTTAAGCTCAATACTCTAAGCTATCTGTAATTGATTGTTCACAGGTCGGACACTAATTTCTGTCATCTTCATTCGGGAAAATAATTCTGTTGTTGTTTCTATAGTATATATTGTGATGTTTTCTGAGCGTTGCCATAACACTAAAAATAATTACTGAGAAGCTTTTTTTTTAATTAGAAGCAGTAGGTGGTTGTGCCATTATGTTCAAGAAAATAGTTTTATTCTGGAAAGCTTATATCTATCTTTTTTCTTTTTTTTTTTTCTTTTTTCTTTTTTAATAAACTTCACAGATGCTTTGGGATGCTACTAAGCCCTGGACGAAATGTGAAGAACAGTGACATGCATTTGCTAGACATGGTAATACTTAGCTCTAATAACCTGTTTAGTAAGATAGTTGGTTTGAAAAGAGAACCAAACAAAACCCAACAAAACAAACCTCTCATCTATTTGGTTTTGTTTATTTTTTGTTTCTTAAATACTGGGGTTTATGTCTTCAAACTAGAAACAAACTTGTTACATACAATGGACAAAAGATTTCAATTAATGTCAAAACCTGTGGCATCTGGTTTTTGTTCAGTTGGTGATTAGGTCAGCTGACAGGTGGTTGTTCCAAATGACTAAGCTTTCTGTATTAGGTTAAGCACCTTGCCTAAAAATTTAGAGCAAATAATTGTTTTTATATTTGGGCATCGGGGAAGCGGTCTTATTTTTCCAAGGCGCTGAAATCTGCCTTTATTTGCTTCATTTGAATTTAAATTCTTGCTCAGAGTTTGAAGTATTCACTTGTCTTCTACAGTGTTCATTTCTAATCAGTTGTTGCTTGCTTCTAAGGGAACTGCAAAATAATATGATACTTTCTATCTTAATATCAATTTATTTTCACGCTGTGGATAAAAATACAACTATTTTCAAGTCAAGAAGTGCTTGAGTTAAACCAATCAGACATTTTGAGGCTGTACAGTTAGCCCAGTTTTGCCTAGTCCATTTCTTTACTCATGTTGATGATTCTAGCTATCAGTATTTAGTTCGCTTGTCAAACTCTTTTATTTGCCTGTTTATATCTACTAGCTCATTTTTCTGGTTGTATTTGCTGACACTAGTTATGATTTTCCATTTTTATTATTTGATTAGAAAGTTGAATAAATTATAGTGAGTTACGGAGTGTAATGAATTGGCTTCTATAAATCTATACAACACCTTTTTACTGTATGCAGTGTATATTTGAATTCCTGTCTTTACTCCACCTATAATTCTATTTACATTTACACTCCAAGTGCATTTAACTGCTGGATGTAATGGCTTATTAGTTCATTTCTTGACTAGAACGTGTAACTTTGTGCTTTCCTTTCCACTCCCTTTCTTCCCATTTAAATCTGGAGAACTTGGTCACTCTTATTGCTCTACCACAAATTGAATTGCAGAGTAGGAATGTCAGTCTCCTTTCATCTCTAAATAGAGACTGCCAGACAGGCCTGTTGGATCCATGGGAACTGTCCCAGAAAACCTTCAGGAAGCATGTAATTGCCTCATACTAGTAATAGTTCGTATGTGCAGGTTGTGTACACAGATTGTTACTAGCAGGTCTGTAAGAAATATTTGTAGAAGTGACGGATGCGTAGCATAAGATGCATAGCATATGTGGCTATTTTGACTTCATTTGCATACTGTCCTGAAATTTGTCTCTTTAAAACTCAAGTTGCTACAAAGTGAAATTCCAGTCCATTGGCTTTTACGAATGTAGGTTCATGCCTTAGGAACTTGGAGAAAAGCTGGCAGAGATATAATTACAGAGTGGGGAAAAAGCCAGCCTGGCCTTTGGGTTGGAGTTGTTAAGGTCTTACTCTGCTAAGATTATTTTTTTTCTGGACCATTTCTGTATGTACTGTGGTGCTAGTTTAATTTTGTGAAGTCTCTTTTAACTCATCCTTTCCTAACAACCATCTCAGCTGCTCAGAAAGCGGAGTGGCAGATATCCCACCATGCTTTCATGCTTATAATAAGCATTAAAAAATATGTTGATAAACTATCTTGTCTTCAGTTTATTTTGTAATGTTTGTCTTTTTCTCTTCAATGTTTCTTCTTTCTCTCCCGTTTCCCTATAACTTTTCTCAATCCATTATTTCACATTCTTTATTTAGATTGTGTTCTCTAGAGCGAACACAATTTTACTCTGAAGTTCTTAGAGCTGTTTCCCCTCCCCGTGCTCAATCACTTTGATCTCAAACCACGACTCTAATAGAATCCCGTATGTTTTTATTTCTAGGAATCCATGGGAAAAAAAAAAGATGGGAAGGCTTATGTAATTACTGGAATGTGGAATCCTAATGCACCCATGTTTCTAGTACTTAATGAGGAAACTCCTAAAGGTAACTTAATCTAATTTGTATATTTGTTTTACCTGTGTGGGTTTGGTGTATGTATTTTCTCCTGGGAATCATCATGCCTGTGTCCAAGTATGTAACACCATTACGTTCCAAGAGTCCATGGCTAGGAACTTTTCTGTATAAGCATATGCAACACAGAAATGTGAATAATTGTTTGTTGAGCTGTGTGTTGCTGATTTGGAGACATGAAATTAGTGCTTGGGGCTTATGCGTCTGTTGCCTTTTTTGGTCCTAAACATGCAGCAGTTGTTTTCCACCTCCTGTACTCAGCAAAGCTGCTGATTTGGAGACATTAAATTAGTGCTTGGGGCTTATGTGTCTGTTGCCTTTTTTGGTCCTAAGCATGCAGCAATTGTTTTCCACCTCCTGTACTCAGCAAAGCAGTATAAATCCTAGCCATTGCTATTCTCTTTCATTTAGTTTTGAGGTGAGTTGATTACAAGTAGCGCTACATCCCCTTCATCTTGGGGCAGCTGGAAGTGATACACTGAAGTGCTTGATTATATGGCACAGTTTCTTATCACTAGAATTGATGTTCTCTGATGTGATCTAAAAGGTTTGAATGCAAATATGGCCTTTGTTTCCTATCCCAAGGCAGAGCAGCCCACATCAGTTCCGTAAAGGCATATCCAAGTATATACAGCCGGTGTCACTGTTACTGCTGCTGGATTTTCAAATCATAGTATTTCTAGTAGCGTATCGGCAAAACTCTTATTGTGCAGCTTGACGCAGTTTCCATTTTATGATATGACTTTGTGTGTGTTTGGTCTGGTTTGGTTTTGTGGTGGGTGTGTTTGGTTGGTTTTGTTTTTTTTAATGCCCATTTGCCTTTTTAGTCTGATAAGACAAGGGAACCTAGAGATCCATAATGTCTGATTAGAAATATTTATTTTAAAAATCTGTGCTTCCTGCAAGAGAGATATCAGTTGTGATGCAACATGATGGTTACTACCTCTCTCTGTGGTGAATGTTTCCAGAAGCAGCAAACCTTTTCTTGCACTGTAAACCTGCAAGATAACACTTGGACTGTTTCAGTCTCATCCTCTGATCGGTTGATCCCGCATTCTTCTCTACTTGAAAAGCTGGAGTTGTGCTTCAGTATCAGGAAGATGGAGCTATTACAGATTAGGATTACTGATCCATGCTTCGCTTTAAAAATGTTTTGCTGTTCTGAGGACTGTCTGAGCCAGAGTGGGACAAGGAAGGGTAACACATTTTGAGTCCTTGTAACTGACATAGTATGAGCATGGACATAAGAAATTATCTGAAGTGTTTCTTAGTGTTATGAGAGGATTTAGGACAAAGAGTGCTGTAGGAGATCCTTGACACTGATTTGCTATACATCTATATATTCCCTCAGCAGTGTGCTTACACTTTGCAATGTGACCTTATCCTGTGGATGTTCCTTTTGTCTGAATAGGGATCACGTATCTTAATGCTGTTTTCTTTGCCCAACGTTTTACTTCTGTCTTTAAAACAACTTTTTAAACCAAAGACAATACGTATTTATCAGAGTTACTTGGTACACTGTTTAATGTATACTCTTACTCTATGCAACAGGCGTGTAGGGTGTAAAACTCGGGAGAAATAAAATGGGTGCAGTAGGATCAATAATTCTATAGAAGGGGCTTTCTATTTGAACAGCAGTTTGGTTCTGTCATTCATTGTTTTGAGAAATTTGAACTTTGACTGATTTTTCCGTATGTGACTTATTTTTGTGTTTTAGATAAGCGTGTTTTCATGACAGTGGCAGTGGATATGGTGGTTACTGAAGTAGTAGAACCAGTGCGGTTTTTGCTGGAGACTGTTGTGCGTGTGTATCCTGCCAATGAACGCTTCTGGTACTTCAAAACAGAAACTTTTTACATGAAGCTAAAACAGGTATTGTGTGTTTGTTTTTTAAAGAAAGGTGATGCTGGGAGCAATTTTTTTTGTCTGTCTTAATTTGGCGTTTGTAAAAGTTAGCATGGCGCCTGCACCTCAATAGTTTGGTTCTTTTAACTAGTTATTGCTGAGATGCTTAAATGCCTAATGGCTGAGTAGCATATATAAGTGTTCAGTGCCTTTGTAGACAGAATTATAATGGGTCATAAGTCATTGGCTTTGTGGGCTTAAACAATTTTGAACCTACCCTAATTTCATACAGTCTGACCTGTGTGCAGACTTCTTAAGGCAATTCCATTTGACTGGTAAAACTGGGAAATGACTGTCCACTGTAAAATCAACTAATAAGTATCAAAGGGAAGTCCTCACTACTGAGGTTAAAAATGTGAGGGTAGGTAGCTGTAAGAATATAATCAATAAAAGGCAAAGGAACTTAATGTGGAGGTTTGAAAGAGCTGGGCTATTACTATTGTTTTTCCAAAGTATCTGAGAGGGTAGATTTCTTCATGTTTTCAAAAAGAGAAGGTTGGAAGAAGATTATCTGGCAAAGTAAGTTCTGCTGCAGGGAGAAGTTGCCATGTTTTCACCCTTGTGGTTGCTAAGGAGGGTATTAAATGAACTACATTCTTCTCCTTCACTGCCTCAGGGCTTTTTGAAATGTGAGGCTAAGGCCGTTATTGTTGCTGTGATGTATTAAATTAGCATCGTTCATGTGCTTTCTTGCTGATGATTGTAATGTTATGAAATGTTCAAATAGAAGTTAAAGAAATAAGCATTTTTAGCCAAGTCTTTTCTATGAGGTATTTCAGTTTGTCAGTCCCTTGGAGTTTGCCTTTTACATCAGGTTGTACAAACACTGCTTGATTCTGCAGAGGGGAGGGAGTGGTTAAGGCGAAGCTTAGTGCATAGTTGTGCATTCCTTCTGTGTTCTTTCCCAGCCCTGTGCTTATGTGATTAATGTGCATTTATTTCTTCCCCAAGCACTGAGAGATGATATATCCATCTCATTTGTTAATGTTTGTTGAATTTGTCTATTGAGTAGAATGCTAAAGTCTCTTCCGTTTTTGGCATTGTGTGAGGTACATAAAGTATGTATGTCTGCTCGTTATCATTGTAGGATGGCACACAGCTGCATCATCCTGCAGAAACTGTTGACCTGCTTTCGCCAAAGCCTTATGTTGTGGTATTGGTTCAAAAAGTGAACAGCAGAGGCTAACTGTACCATTTACATTGGAATAGTGGTCTGTCGTCTTTGGAGAATGAAACTGAGGAGCAGTGATTTAATTTTACTGAGCCTAATGTGAATATTTGAGTTGTCATCTTCCTGTGAGGCACAGTAACAGGTCCTAAAAACCAAGCTGTGTTGATAATACATGGCAAAAGCCCCACTGTGTTTAACACTTAGTAAGTAAATAAATCTCATGCAATGTTGTTTGTGTATTTCTTCAAGAGATTAGCATAGCAACTTAGAATTTAAGAAAATCTGAGAAAACCAACTGTTATATGCAAATATTGAGAATATCTGCATTTTAAACTTAAAGGGAATTTAAAAAATTACACTCTCAGCTGTTTGATACTTATCTATAATCAGTTAAGCTTTCCTTTTAAATCACTTGCAGTGTTTTAATTGAGTAATATGGATACTTTTATTCTTTCTCACCCCCTATAATGTGACAACATATATGTGTCTCCCCTCCATGAAGAAACACATTCATTTCTTCCTGCTGTAAAATTCTGAGGAGCTGTTCTGTAGATTTTTGGGAAGGGAATGCTTTTAATCTTTGTAATCTTTCTACAAGATTAGGTCCTGATTATGGATGAGAGATTCTCTGGTTGACCCATAGCAAGTCTTTATTTAGCCAGTTGTCAGTTGGACAGTTTGTGTTGTGATAGGTGTTCCTGCAGATACCTCTGAAAAACGCTGCACCTCAGGGCACTCTTACTCCTTGGAAAATAACTCCGCAGATGGCAAGGGATCAGCCGCTCATGAATTTTTGGGGAAAATAGTTGAGCTTAAGTAGACTTGAGGGAATGTAACAGTGGATTAATATCAAATCCTCAGCTCCAAAGATAGATGGCTTCTCTGCACAGGACAGTGAATCCTGTGGTCTAATTTCCTAAAAAAATACAATAATGCTATCAGTCTTTGTGCAAATGTAGCGTGTTTGACTGTGGGTGAGAAATTCAGGCGTGCAGTCTGCCCAGATCTAAGCTCCACCATGCAGAGTGCTTGGCAGGAAACTTTAGACTTGGGCTGTCTCAGCAAGGTGCCCATTTTGGTAAAGAAGCATCTGTTACTGATGTTCCAAAGGGAAGCAAGGGATGAAATGGCATTTTCCTGCAAGGGGTGAGTGAGACCTGTGTGCATTGGCTGAGAAAAATCACAACTTCTCTGAGGAAGGATTCAGACTTAATAGTCTGAATCAAGATTGGTGAGGTACAGTCAGATATGAGGAACGATATAAATGCATGATGCTGTGAGATTTAAGATTGTTGTGTCTATGTATCTATCTGTCTCCCTGTCTCTCACTGTTACTCATCCACATTTTCATCATTAGAACATGATTATCCTTGTAAAGGTGGATTTCTGTAGACAGCAAATTTGTGCTTCAGAAAAAAACCAAATAACCAAAATATTTACATTTTATAGAGATGGGTCTTGCAGTTAACCGGAACACAGGCAAGGAGCTGAAGACTTGTAATTCTTGTAACATACAACAAAATCCATAGTACCTTATGCCTTACTCCCTCAAAAATAAAAGCTATAGTGATGGTAAATAATATTAGTGACATTAATAGTTGATTGATGTAGCCAAGTACTTTGTAATTACTTGATAAATGGTATTCTGTGAGAATAAAAGAGGGATAATGGCTCTAATATTATCCTGCTAAATGTTACAAAGTGCAGGGTATTTATGCCTAAACCCAAAGTTCATTAAGCTGACTTCCTGAGAAGTTCAGTGAGCAAAACTGGCTGATAATTGGAGCCACTGCTTCCAGGGAGTGTCAGCTCTGAAGGAAGCAGATCTGAATGATTAACCTAAAATACAGTAAGAAAGTTTTCTCAGTATAAAATTATTTATATTGTGTCAGTCCAAACAGTCCCTGCTTAAGCTATCCATCTGCATAATTTCACCAGCTTGTTGAAATTGCAAGGGCTGGTCAGCAGTTCATGTGCATCTCCAGTGAAGGTGCCATAGAGTCTTCCAACTTTATAATAATTTTGGTTTTGAAACAAATTGAATATTCTCTGAGATTGTGTTCTTTTTCATGGTTAATTTGATGTTTTTAATATGTTAAAAAAATTATTATAACTGATTAGCCAAGATACCCAAAGGACAAAATAGCACAAAAATTTGAGCTGGTTAATTTAATACAGTCATTACAGTTTTATGCAATTCTCTACAAATAATTGATCACTGCATGCAACTGAATAATAATTGTGTTCAGAACTGTAACTCAGAGGAGAAACTAATACTCCTTTTATTTTAAAACTTCCAACCTTGTCTCTGGTGCTTAAAGTATGGGTAACTAACTTTAGCAATTCCTGAAGAGGCAGATTTGGGAGAAAAACTGCTTTTACAGAACAAAATGCTTTCCACTGAAAATATTCTGACCTCAAATATATATTGTTACAGATACCACATTCAAATTTCCAAGCTAATTTGACTGTTAGAGTGACAGATATACATGATTTGTACACATGTGCACGCACAGAGGCACACATGCACAGACACACAAACACACACACACGTATATATAAAAGTAAGAAGTAAATGAAGGTTAGGCTACCAACACAGACTGTATAGCTAGGTATAACAATACATTTCCCCATGGAAAGGAATATACTACAAGTTATAATCTCTGGAAGAAAGATGAATTTTTCTTGTTTTTTAATGAGTAAAACACTATAAGGAGCTTTTCACAATTTGTGACTTTCAAAAACCATGAGGTTTTGTTTCTTCATTAGTCTTGTCTTCACCTACTAAAAACTCTTACCATTAAATTCCTCCCCCCAGGCATTAGATTCCTGTTCCTGTGATGTTGTTTACTCCAATATTTTTCCTGTTTGTTCTCTCTTTTGCTGTAGTTTCTCCTTGACCTCATCTCATTATAGCTGTATTTAAATTGGAAAGCTTTTTTTATCGTCAATCTGAACGATACTTAAAATGGTTGTTAAGAAGCAGCTTTGGAAATAATGCAGTGTTGTTTGTATTTTCTACCTGTAAAACTCAGAGAACCAGAGCTGTCAGTTTCTGCCAGTGTGTGTATGCCATTGCAAAGAAATCTGAGAGAGTCTTGCTGGAACTATTGTTTAACCTTGGTAGGAGATTTGTTTGTATGTGTCCGAGTTTGGTTTTGGCATACTATTAGAACTGTATTTATCAACAGTAGGGACTAATACATACTCATATTCTGTTTTAGTCTGAAGGAAAAAGCCACACAAGTGCTGGGGATGCAATTTATGAAGTTGTCAGTCTACAAAGAGAATCTGCAAGAGAGGAAGAATTGGTCAGCCCAACAAGTGGAGGAGGGCCTATGTCTTCCCAGGAGGATGAGGCAGAAGAAGGTAAGAATAAATGAGCACTTACAGTTCCCACAGATAGTACTATTATGTTTCTGTTGTTAACTTACTAATTTAATTCTTCCCGTTTATGTCTATTAAAAATACAACAGTTTTGCACAAAAAGATATCATGTAATTTTCTACTAGCAGCAGTTCTTTAATAGTGGCATTTTTACCAACCTATTGTTTGGAGCTCTGTCAGTAGCAGCAGCAGGCCACGCATGTCCATTTTTCTGTGTGCTTCAAGATGTGTTACTGCTGCACTTGTGTGTCCCTTTTCTAGAGGGATTTTCTTCTGATCAGAAGCCATTTGCCTGGAATGTGCTGCTAAAGGACAGCATTGAAATGGGCTTTGAAAGGCAGGGCTTTAAATGCCTCCTTGAAGAAAAAAAAAAAAAAAAAAAAAGGAAAAAACCCCCAAACATACTTGTGGGGAATTCCCCCACCCCCAAACTGTCTGCTTGGCATGTGATTCTTTTTCATTCTCTTATGATTAGGGCTTATCAAAATGTCCTGAGTTGGGGGTTGCTCCTGGGATTCATGGACCCAGTGTACTTGCCTGCCCCTTCCAAAACTAACAGTGTCTCAGTGTCTTTCCCACTGATATTTTTTGCTTGTGTTTTTTTGTTTGTTTGGTTTTCTTTGGAGGCCCTTGGCCTACTGTCCTCTCTTGGTACTCTGAGGGTTGGTCCATAGCATTCAGAATAGGCTCTCAACATGCCATTTTTGGTCTGGATATCTGACCTATCAGAACTTGTGATAGCTTTACAAAATTATTCTTCATATTTTTGACACTGTTCTGTCAGTACTATAAAAAGTCTCACTTATTACAGTGGAAAAATTCCTTCTTGATTCTTACTTATAGATAAGTAGTTGGATATTAGGTTATGCCATATGAATCAGAACCCTGAGATTAACACCGTCAGGAACAGACAAGTACGATTACACGGTTACTTTCTTCCAGTTGCAAACAAAGAACCCCACATATCCCATGTGACAGCAGGCTTACAAAACCCACAGCCAAGTGGTCTTCTGTAAATTGAAAACCTTCTACTTATTCCTGTGAGGGAGCAGGATCGTAGAATCAAAGAATGGTTTGGGTTGTAAGGGACCTTAAAGATCATCGAGTTCCAGCCCCTGCCATGGGCAGGGACACCTCCCACCAGCCCAGGTTGCCCAAAGCCTCATCCAGCCTGGCCTTGAACCCCTCCAGGGATGGGGCATCCACAGCTTCTCTGGGCAACCTGGGACACTGCCTCACCACCTTCAGTGGTGGTTTCAGGAAAAAACTTCCTCCTAATATCCAATCTAAATCTGCCCTCTTTTAGCTTAAAACTGTTACCCGTCATCCCATCACTCCACTCCCTGATCCAGAGCCCCCCCATCTCTCCTGTAGCCCCCTTTCAGCACTGGAAGGTGCTCTAAGGTCTCCCCAGAGCCTTCTCTTCTCCAGGCTGAACAACCTAGAGATGGGCATTGACGGTCACTGTTACTCCCTCCTTTGTATCAAGTACCACTTCTGAATGATAAAAATGCTATCTTCTCTAAAGGAGCTTTTATATTTAGTTGGTATTTGGGATTCCTTTAATATTTATATAAATAATTTTTTCATATTTGACCTCTGGGTCTTGAGGTTCAGTGTAGCGTAGTTCAACATCAGTGGGTGTTCTTTTCCTTGCTGGATGTTTGAGTTGTGTAGTCAGAATGTTTTCTGGAGCTTCCTTCTTAGGGTAGGGTTTAAGTAATACTTGAATACTTTTTTTTTCAATATTGCTTCTTGCTGGGAAGAATAAAGGTGTTCCAGAATTTGATGAATGTAGCACAATTAGTAATAATGTGGATTTGTCCTCTTGATACTATTATAGAATGGCTTTATTTTATTATAGTGTAGAAGTATTCCACTGGGGTGTGAACCTAAGTTTAACTTTGGTTTAGCTTCCTAATGCTAGTTTTCATACTTTAAATGTAGATTACTTCCTAAGAGAAGACATTAAAAATATCATGATGTGACTCTGTTCTCATGGAAACTGCATTTAGAGTTATCTGCCTAGAAGTTCTCTTTCCTAGTGGATATGCAGGTTAAATGAGTCATTTGCAGTTGTTCTAAATAAATCTCTTCATTCTTTTTCTTTCTTTTTCTTTTCAGGGTACTAATTATGATGATGGAAAAAAAAAAACCCTTGAGTTTACAATGACTTGTCTTAGCCTTGGAAGAAGGCTTTTTCTTTTCTTTAATGTTAAGGATGGTAGCTACCGGGCCGTATAGTTTTTTTCTCAGCTTCTAACCTGACTAGGGCAGGTGTGCATTATATGGACTTCACTATTTCATAGGCCAGAGGCTGGTATTCCCATTACAGATATTGAGGATTGTTATCTGTTCTTTTTATTTTTTTTTTCTGTATCCTCATATATATCCTACCTGCCCACAGAATATTGCTTAATTTACTCCAGAAGCACTATATATCGCAGTTTCATTTGTATACGAATGCATGCCTCATTTGCACCGTACCTGATTTGTGTGTACTCTGTGTGTGTGCATACACACAGCTCAGTGGGATGTCTTATGTCATGAGTATATGAATAAAGATGTTCATAAGAAAGAAGGCATTTTTTTTTTCAGTATTCTTGTTCTTTTTGTGTTACTGAAAGGCTAAACAAAATAATGATTTAAAATAATTACTATACTAGTGTTAGGTGTATTCCTTTTCAAGTGTGCAGTAACTGCATACACAAAATTGAGATCATATACTCCCTAAATAACATTCTTAGCTTTTAATATTCTTTTCTCATTTTAGCTTTATTTTTCGTCTGAACAGATATATAAGAAAATCAAGATCTTTGCAAAGATTGTGCAATAGCTGGTCAGAGATCTTTCAGGTCAATCTCAATTTTTTTTTTTTTTAATCTTTAATAGTGTAATAGATATTTCTGGCAACCCAGTCATCTAAGGTTCCTTGCTTTGGAGATAATAATTTTAAAAATATAATTAA